TGTCCAAGAACTACTTATCTTGCAATGGGCATTAAATGTGAAAAGCAATYATTCACGTAGTCCTAGATGCATCTCACTGCACCGAACAGATGTGCAGATAAAAAACRTGCAACACTGAGGCTCAGTATCTGAGAGTGACAAATTCTGGAGAACAACTACAATTTCTCCTTATAGCAAGCATTTCTGTGCTTGCACAGCGTAGAGATTTGGTCCTGGATTTAGTATTTGTAAGCTGCACAAACAAGCACAATGGCTTTCATATTATTAGATTTTAAGTTCGGGCGGCAACATAATTGTAATTATTGTTTCTAGTGCATACAGCATCTCCACATGGTAAAGGTTTCTCGGACGCAAAAGGACAGTGCCAGCTATTTGGATACCCCTCTTGTACAGCACGGGGCGAAGCAGCTCGTGCCATAAACCTGAGCCATGCCATAGAGGGGCAAAGCCCCAGCAAAAACGTTCAGGTGCTGCTGCCTGCAGGCTTAAATCGAAGTTACAGACATGCCCCATCCATTAACTCATGGCCTGATGCCTAAAGGACAGTCAGAGCTGGAAGGGCTCCTTTAATCCCACTGTTGGCAGCCACAAGCCTGGATCTCCTGCATCACATCTACCCTGCTCTGTTTGGACAGGAACCCTAAGACACCTCTCATGGGAAAGCTCAGGGAAATGTGACGTTAATAGAGCTCAGTGGGTCTCAAYGGAAATGTTAAGTGTAATTGAAAATTACTACTGAGCTTAAGCTTTTGACTTCTGTATCCCCTGCATTTCATATGCATACACTAGCTTTATTTCTCCTGTAGCATCGTCCTTGCCACAGCTGCAGGCCACAGAATCGCCTTGGCCACAACAGGTAACAAGGGCAGTTTTATGGGAATTAAACTGGACTGAGGGTCAATGTGAATCTACCTCCTTTTTCGCAAATGCTCATTTCTCCCCGCTGCAAAATGGTCCCTCAGGTCCCTTTGGATTAGCAGCTCACACTAGGTGCTGTAGAAGGGAAAGGAAACCATGACACCTAGCACCTTTTTGTACCTTCGTTTCCCCAGCTGATCCGTTCTGCCCAGTGCTGTGCCTCTGTTGGCCCACCTTCTTCTGCTTCTTATCCATTGCTTCAGCACTTTCTTTTCCATTTCAGAGCCAGTAAAGTGGTTGTTTTTGCCCTTTCCTCCTGCTTTCTACTTTGGGAGTACTCTGGGGTTGCCAAGCACTTCACTCCCCACTGCTCCAGCATCTGGGGCCACAGGACCCAAGATATCATCACCAGGAACCCCTCTGAGCTTTCCCTTTCCAGTGTAAATCAAACTGTTCCTTCAGGTAACAGACCTGGGGTAATCCCAGAGCTCTACGCCATGTAAGTCCAAAAGGCAGCACAGATCACTCAAAGAGTGAGAGCCCTGGTCTTGTTGTGAGACACATTTTTCCTCTTTCTCTTTGCCCTCGTGCGAGGACCTAAGATCAACAGAGGGAGGCAGTGACATAGTGGGACCACTGAAGTGGTCATCCCCCCCAAAAAACATGCCTAGATAGCACCAAGGGAGATTTTTTTAAAAAGGATGATTCAAAATACACATTTAAGTGTATTTAAGGAGACATAATCATGTCCCTCCACAGTGTTCTTGACTCTGGGAGATGGRACTGGAGGCTCAGGGGAGACCTCATCACTCCCTACATCTACCTGAAAGAAGGTTGTAGTGAGGCAGGGGTCAATCTTTTCAGCAAAATAAAAACCTATAGGACCAAAGGAAATGGCCTCAGGTTGCACCAGGAGAGGTTTGTGTTAGATGTTAGCAAAAATTTCTACATGGAAAGAGCGGTGAAGCCTTGGAAGAGGCTGCCCAAGGAAGTGGTGGAGTCACCGTCCCCGGCAGCGTTCAAGAAACGTATAGATGAGGCAGACGAAGAGCTATGGGTTTGCAGGCAGGGYGGTCATGCTTTTACAGCTGGATCTGATGATCTTGAAGGTCTTTTTAGTCAAGTTTTAGACATTTTTTTTCCAAAAGTTTTGWACAATGCCAAGAGCACTAGCAGAAAGGGAGAATCAGCGCCAAGAAACACCCGTGTTCACAGAATTCCTAAGTTTACAAGCAATTGTGTTTTTTTACAACACAGAAGCTAGAATTAAGTTGTTATCGTCGTCAAATCTACTCAGCATATTTGAGAACTTGAATAAATCCTTGAACCCTATTGCTAGCTCTAGATATAAATGTTTTTGATAGCAGGAGGAATCCTATGCCAGGATTAACATGTAAACACAAGTTCTGGTTCAAGATTTCCTTTACTTATTTTTTTTCATAACTCTTTATACAGTTTTATCTGCATGTTACTTGCATAACCATGAGGAGCGACTGGTTACTACATTACCAAAGTATATATGAACAAAATATATATGAACATTAAAGTCTAAGAGTCCTGTTGAACAGTCCTGGCTGCCTGCTGAGCTAGTGAGCATCCCAACACCTCGAGCCAGCTGTAACCCTCTGCCTTGCATGGGAGGTCAGGCCCCAGCATTACTGAGATTGATCAATAGTGATTTTATAGTGATATTGATGTGATCAATAACCTGCTGATCAAAGGGCTCAGCCTTTGCTGGGCAGTGCACAGAGGGAAGGGCTTGTACTGGACTGGGTTTCATGACAGTCCTGTTGGTCTTCCATACCCAGGCTTCCCGGGAGATCAGTGTTCCACTGCTGTTGCCTTGTTGTCAGCTGGACCTGGAGGATAGCTAACGTGTGAGAATTTTGCAGACAGAAGCTTCCCCAGGCCGTTCAAAGCTCTCCAGAAATCTCTTCAGCACTTCATTTTCCCTGCAGCAGCGCCCACACCATTTCACTAGGGCACCACCACCTGTCACCCCTGCACTGCAGCATCCTTCCATAATCCGTCCCACTCCAACAGATTCAGACACGTAGTAGTAGTGCCCAGTGAAAGGATCCAGGACACCGGGACAAGTTGCCCAGGGGCAAAGGGGCATTTAAAATCCTACTCGACATGGCACTGAGCAACCTGCTGTTCTTGACCCTGCTTTCAGCAAGGAGGCTRGACCAGATGATTTCCCGATATTCCTGCCAACCTGAACCATTGTGGCATTCTGCGATAATCCAGCAGTTGCAGTCTTTTCCAAGGAACAAGTAATGGCTCATGTACTGTAGGAACAGAGGAAATCATCAAAGCAGGGATTACTCCCTTGCTGTAGACACTGACACCAAAGCATGCCCACCTACTTTAAAGAGAACAAAGAGATCCCGAATCCATACAAGAAAATCAGTGGCCTTAGGGATGGCAATCCTGCATTCAGTGGCATTTTTACCTATCTTAAAATCTCAGTAAAGATTCAAAGAAGAGAAAGATAAACTCGTGAACACACTATCTAGTCCTAGTTTCACACAGACCCAGAGGATGCCCAACCCGCTAGCAGACACTGAGGCTTTCAATATTTCCATTAACCCGTGGTCAGCTGCTCTTTTCCGTCATCAAAACGCTAGTTCTTACCAACTGTCCCTCCATCTCTGCTCTACTGAAGGAGGTTTTTGCACTCCCTTATGGAGCCACACAAATTCAGTGTGGGTCCCACACTGAACTGACCCAACTGAACTGACCCAGCTAWTTACAAAGTCCAAAGCTATGCACAGGAGTAACTAGAGTGTGTTTCAGAACACAAGAGCGATTAAGCTGCCTGCTGGAAAACTGAAGCTGCCCAACACATTAGCAGCAACTACTCATTATCTTTGTTTACTGACAGGAAATTAATTTACTGTTTGCCTGCGTGGATGACATTTTTAGGATGACATTTTTTTTCTTTTTTTTAAGAGTATCACTGAGAATAAACATCCTTCACACTGCATCATGTCCACCTTGCCTAGTTCCTCTATGTGACTGTGTTTCTTGAAGGCCCCTCTGGCCTTGTTTGGGTATGCTCAATATATCAGTGAAGTGTCCCTGCTCCTTCTTACAGTGGGTCCATGCATCTTGGATTTGGTTTGATTCTTTTTAATAGTTTCTTGCATCATTCATGCTTTGCTCCCGAAACTAACAGTCTTTGCTTTCTTGTATCGCTCTGGGATCCAGAGGAGAGAAGAGTCAAAGCAAGGATGGAGAGAGGATGTTCTTTTCCTGTGGTCCACACAATTTTGTTACCACCCGTGTTACCAGCCCAACAAATGTTCTGCTGCAGAGCAAGTTAGTGAAGGGGAGCACAGAAGGGAACATGCAGACTGCAAAGGCCCCTGCAGGAGATGGGTATCACTGTGCACTGTCCCTAACACCAGTGTGCTCCGAGACCTGACCTGGTTTGCTGGATCACATGTACATGGGGTAAGGTGTACATGGGAAATCTTCACTAACAGACAAAGGTGAAWATCAAAACACTCCACTGTGACTCCTGGAAAAAATTGAGGGAGCTAGTGACCATTTCCATGAGTAAATACCTGGTAGCAGCAATGCCAGGCCCTGAAGTACGATCAACGGTGTGTGTGCACATGGTTGCTCTGAGCTTTGCATTAGGTATTGCAAAGAAAGTTTGACTTGGAACTACTTTGTGCTCTGCATCGCCCTGGGCCTGCCCGTTGCTGACGAGTGGTTAGGTTTGAGGGCACTCTCTTGCTATATCCTGCTGTTGCTCACTGAGAATCTAGATGGAGAAGGTTTGGGAGCAACACCTCCATGCAGCCAAATCGCTGTGGGTTAACAATAAGAGAAATGATTCAAAGATATCCACAAGCAGATCTACGCTCTCCTCCTGCCCCTGTGCCAAAATGGCTGAACAATATTGATAACATGACGTCCTTAGCAGGGAATAACATTATTAGTTGTAGGGAGTAGCTCTGAGGTGTTCACAACACTTGCAAACATTGGCAGAAAGGGTCTCACGCAACAACATCCATGCTGGAAATCACAGCTTGCTCCAGCAGAGCTGAGCTCTCCCAAGATAATGACCGTGCTACACTAGGCAATGAGATACAGATCAGAGCCAAGGAGACTCTGCTTAAGGATCTTACCTGTCTCTGAGGACCAGTAGGTTCAGACTCCCGTCTCCTTTGTCGGGTAGCTGGTGCTGAGTGCAGGGGGGAGTGGGCTGGACTTCCTGTCTGCTGTTCGTGYTTACTGTCAGATACTGTTTGAGAAGGTCCTTCGTGTCTGTGGGAACTGTCCTCCTCCGTCACAGGCTGCATAGCCCGACTTCGCCCATCRTGTATCTTCGGCCTGACTGCCAGATCTGCCCCCAAGCGCCTCCTCTCCTCACCCTCTTCAATAGGTCTTAGTTCCTCAGGTTCCTCATCTGTGGTTCCAGAGGTGCTTGGCTCTGCACCAGGGTGAAAGTCCTTCAGCTCAGTCTCCTTATCAATGATAACCCACTCCTTGCTATCAAAGTCCTCTTCCTCTGCCAGGGGTACCGAGCGGAAAGCATTGCTGAGGGCTTCGTGTTCCACCGAAGCAGACACATCCATCCTACCGCTTGCCTGCCGGTCTGCTTGGCCAGTATCAATGGATAACATCTGGGCTGGCTGGGAGGAACACACGAGCCGCGACGGAGAGCCAGGCAAATCCATTCGAGATCTGCAGCGAGAACAAGACACCATTAAAAATGCATCAGGTTTATGGCTAAAATCAGAGGTCAAAAGAGAGAAATCCTCCACAGTTCTTCTCACCATCCTCATAGGTTTCAGACAGACTTAAAACAATTCTTTGGAATCTACATAAAGACACTCTCCCTTAAATGCCTCAATTTCAGCATCATTCTTCCTTGTAAATGACAGAGTACAAATCAGTATCACCCCTCAACACCAAGATACTCTTCCTCCTTGGAATGTTCTTTTTGTTTGTTTGTTTAATAAAAAAATACAAATAAATAAAACCACCCCCAAAATCTACTCCCTGACTAGSTGTCCCTGCTGGAGCAAGGGGTTGGACTAGATGATCTCTAGATGTCCTTTCCAACTTCAACCATTCTGTGATCCTGTGTGATTTTGTGACTTTTCATTATTGGATTCCTATAGCATCTTCACCTCTACTGCACTCCAAGGTGGCTATTGAACCCTCTACAGTGCTAGCAAATGTTCTTTGAGGAGAGCAAGAATATTTGATCTCCCCTGTGCAGCAGGAATTTCACTAAAATGCTCAACAAGCATAGGCGATCTCAGGAGAATTTGAGGAGCAGGAAGGAAATATGGCAAATAACGTTTAAGAAGGGGTAGCAAGGTAGTGTAATGTTCACTGACACAGTCTAAATAGCAACAACTTCCAGTGCCACGCAGAAATATTTTTCAAGCACTCCCTAAGCCCTGATGGCCAAGACAGCCCCTCAGCGAGAAAAAGCCAGTTGCAAAGATCGTAGCCACACCCAGAGGGACTTTTTGATCCTGCTTCATTTTCAAATATTGCCCCTCTTTGTCAGACCTTTCGTAGGAGAAGGCCTGTGTCTTCCCCACCTCATTTAGATGGGTCATTTCACCACCAAATCATACAACTGCAGTCCATGCACTTATTTGCAGTGGGAAAAGGAAGAAAGAGAAACAAAGGCTGTGAAATGGGTGACCAGTAGAGCAGTGTCACATGCACTTCTACTTGCCCTGTGTCTTGTAACAACTGTATTTCCCAGCACATAGTACCTTAAACAACTTGTTTTCATTGCTATTTTTGTTGCTTTTTGTTTCTTGCTCTTTTCCTTGTGGTGAATTTGAGTTAAGATATTCCTATAATGCTCAACAAAATCAGGGTTTACCTTTTAGATATCATGCATATTTTGTGCATCCAAGCAATTGCTGTTGGTTAGCTCTCAGAACAGGTGTATCCAAACATGTATCCTAAGAAGATACATTCTTCTCTCCCACCTAAATGACTTTGGTAACTGAAGTCTAGTGATTGTGCAATTTCTCTCTCATCCCTCTCTCTGCTTTCACAAATATCCCTCCCTCCATTCATGGGGTCTTTCCCATTCAAAAAGAGGATGAAAATCTTTCCTACTAACTCTCCTTATGATCAAACATCTCACTGCTCTGTGAGCTGAGCGTCTCATCACAGAGGTCATAAGCCAAGTCCCGGATTTTCCCACCCAGAACAGACTTCCCAGYGACTGCTGATTTAACGATGGGCTTGGCCTCAACTATCCATCCTCAAGACAGTATTAAGAATCATGGAATCATAGTATTCGAAGTAAGTATTAGAAAAGAGGAGGCTACAGAGGGTGAGCAAACCTTCTTTCGTTCGGATCCGCCTTGCCATCAGCCGTGGAGAGGCGCTCGGACTCGGGGCTGTTCACGCGGCGGTAGCGGAGGGAGCGCGCTTGTGCGGTAGGGGACTCTGGAGGCACTCGGACAGGGGAGCTGGGACAGACACCGTTTCGCTGCTCCTCTTCTACCATGCACTGAGTCTGGAAGGGGTAAGCACAGAGAGTCTCAAAACTTGATCACACACGTTGGTTTCACCATTCCTCCGTGCTTTTCTCCAGCACACAGTCGCAGCTGCACAGCTAACCCAAAAGAGCCAATCTCCCACCCACGTTGCCCCACACGACCCTAACTGCTTGCCCAAGATCCGCTGTATGAAAAAACCCTTGTCTGCCCATTCTTGTCCAAGCCCATACAAAGCAAGGTACATACTTTCACTGCTGATGAACATAACTAATACAGCTCCTAAATACCAGAGGCTAAAAGCAAAAGCCTCTAGGTGAACTCAACCACAAGCTGCAACATCTCTAAGAGTTTTGCACAGACTCAAGGTCAGCAATTTGGAGAAACAGGAACTTGAACACACAGACACTGAGAGTTCATTGAGAGCTTATACTCTGCATTTTCTCTTTTCATATGACGTGAATGAATTTGTTTTTTTTAATTTGGCAGCCGCCAAAGGAACAGAGTAGGTTGCTGTAGCTCAGTCTTCCTCTGCTTTCCACAGCAATCCTTGCTCCTGGGAGAAGAGACCTTGCTTAGACACAAGTGCCCAGGTGGAACGGTGCAAAGCCCAGCAGTAGCTTCGGGCTTGTGTTCAACTCTGTTGTGCTGCCATCCATGAATCCTCAGTGGCTACAGGCTGCTTCTGTGTAGAGAAGTGTGTGGCAAGGTGTCGGTGCAAGCTCCTGGTGCAGGGAACATTTACCTTTTGCATGCCCTACTCAGTTGACCTCTACTAATGCCCACAGGATCTGAACGTAAACAGAATTTCCAGTCAACAATTGCTAATGAAGAGTTGTGGTTAGTGGTAGGTCACCCCATTGTGGCAGGACAGGATGTACAGCAAGTCAGTGCCCATAATTTAGCATGTTTAAAGCATTCAGGCTGGCTTTGTACTGCGTAACTAAGCAGCTCGTGTCACTGTGAGGAGCTGGGAGAGCTTTCAGGCATTCCTGGAGCAGTGCAATAGATGAYAGGGATCTAATGTATAATCCATAGAGGACAAAATACTCAAAGGAGGTAATAAAGAAAAACWGGGCTTTGGGAAAGAGCTGATGTTTTAACTGTTGGGTAACAGGCTACTTTTAATATCCAAGAGGAGAGACTGGGTGAATATATAGGAGAGAAGAAAGAGACTTACGGAAAAACACTGAACAAGAACCTTGAAAGCGAATGAGCAGAAAAAGGTCCATTAGATGGCTTTGCCAGGCAAATCTGGTAGGCCCTGATATTACAAGCCACTTTTAGACAGGTTTCTCTGCTAACAGGCAGGTTCTCTACGGTATCTGATGTCACACTCCATGACATGCTGATTTCAAAATCAGTATTAAGATGAATGCAACAAATACTGAATTACTTAAAATTATGTAACAGCTAGGATTCTCACACTTAATATTTAATATGGAACCATTCAACTGAGATGCTTCCAGGAAATTAAACCACATTTATAAAAAAGGATTGAGAAACAGCTTGGGGATTAGGAGGAAAACAGGCTAAGAAGTCTACCATAATTTCTGAATATGAAGTACAAGAAGATTAAGTGATGCTTCTTTCTCCTCAGAAAGGCAAAACTTGATTGTTGGTGCTAGATGCACCAGCTGATCTAACCTTCCATTTTGTAAGGGTGAAATTAGGTGCCTTTTATAGACTGCACTGCTCCTAGAAAGTTAAAAAAAATAAAAATGGAAAGATCACAGTGTTTATGATGCATGGTGTGTAAAAACATGTCTTTGAAGACATCTCAGGCTGAGTTTACTTGCCCAAGAGCTTAAGAGACAATAAGATTTCRCCTTATAATTTCCAATATTGGAATATTTCCGATGTCATATTAGCTCTTGAAGGACTAGGATTCCATTGCTTAGAGTATCAAAATCCTACATGATAGTATAAAATTGTATGAAAGATTCATTCTAGCATTATTGGGTCCAAAACGGCATTTGTGTATTATGAAGCCCATATTTATTCCCAATGTCTTTCGTTCTACCGAAAATTTTGGGGCATTCCCCATTTCCATCAGGGGAGGCACTTGGCTCTGCAGCACAGCAGATGCTACAACAGCGCTTCCAGGTGGCTTTTAGAGGTCTGTGAGCCCACTGCCCTAAGTCCAGCAGCCACAGAAGGTAAATAAATGTTCTTTACTTTGCTGATGCTGATCCTGAGTTTGTTGCGATTCACATCTGTCTCTTCCCAAACTTCAGCCTCATTGAAAGCAGCGTTTGGAGCCTGGCCAAGACTTTCTGCCGGCCGGCCTGACAGGATGGGAGGMGCATTCTCTTGATCACTCAGATGTTCACCCTGTAGGACATCCTCAGTGTTTTCACGAAGCAAGTCCCCAGGTACTGGAGTGACATTAACCACCCTACAGAGGAGGTAAGAAGCAAGGTAAATTTATAGTATTTAAAGAAACAGCCCAATGATGCTGTCCCACAGCATTTCCTCAACAGCTTTTAGCATTGAGCAGAGCAGGTAATCCARTGTTATTCAGGTAGAATAGCCTTAAACTTTAGCATGATATGATCATTACAACACCCTAGCACAAAGACAGAGAGATGCATCAGTCAAAGACTGTTGGGGCCCTCAGGCTGCAAAGGTCTTTAGAAGAACTCCCCAGAAGCACCTATTACAAAATGCTTACTTTAAAAGAACCTTTCCCCCTTTACATAAGCCAATGAGCTTTATGGGCTCTACAGTGTTTATCATCTGTAATATTCAGATAATATTCAGATTCCTTAATGTCAGCCCCATTCAGATTCCTTAATGTCAGCCCCAACAAAAGCAACAAGATTGATGAAATTGCCAAATCTCCTCAGTTTTTAATTGGATTTGTTTCACTGGACATCATTGTACCTAGTGTACCTCTGGTCCAGCACAGGAAACATTCTGAAGGGCTGGGACATATTTTATGTGTGACCAGCTCACACATATCCTCCTGAACTCAGTATCACTAATTCACCCCAACGCAAGGCACTCTCAGGGAGGCTCCAACCATCTGTGCCATGTAATCTGTCAAACACAGAAAAACACGGGCTTATCAATCCTGGCCGAAAGCAGATCTTCCTTTCCAGGACCATAACAGCTTTTGAACCTTTCAAAAATTAACTTGCCACTGAGTCTCACCAACATGACAGCAAYACTCACCCAAACATGGCTGCTGTTTGCCTAGTGTTTTGCTGTGGAGGAGTAGAGGTGCTAGTGGACAGCAAGATATCTGTCCCGGCCTTCTCCCAGTCAAAGGCTTCATTTTCAGTAATGCCTCTTTCTTTCATGCTGTTCTCAAACACGGACATGATTAGCTAGAATAAATTGGCAAGAACAAGTTATGTTAAATTACAGAACAGCTTTCACAAAAAGMTAAAGCATGAGCACTAGTGCCAATGGCAGTTTATCATCTCTATCTTGTCTACGACAGGTACCAACAAATGAAAAGCAAATGTCACAAAATCATACTGGTGGTTTCCCAGGCTTGGTAACTGCAATTTCTTGGAATCTGCAGAAGTGCATGCAACATTTTGACACTGATTTGATTAAACCATACAGTTGATTTCTTACTGCAGGCTTCACTCTAAAGCATGAGATTGAGCTCAGATTCAGCTGAAATTCAGATCCATCTTCCTGCACATGGATCTTCCATTTGATGTGCATAGCCCAAGACAGAGAATGAAACTCCTCCCAACACTGTTGGTGCCAAGAGTGCTAGACCCCCAGTGACATCACTTGTCACTGGCCTCCAACTAGATTTTGTGCCACACTGAGCACAATCCTCCGAGATCGGCTGTTTTCAACACACTTCACTGCTCATCTGGCCTGTACTTTGCCAGCTTGTCTGCGAGGAAGGAGACAAGCTCAAAAAAGCCTCAAAAAGCCTCAAAAAAGTCTCACTGAAATCAAGACAGACGCTGCTCTCCTCTCATCTACCAAGACAGTCATCTCATTGTGGAAGGTTATCGGGATGGCTATGCCTGATTTTCCCTTTGGGAATCCATGCTGTCTGCTCCCACTCAACTTCCTATCCTTCATGTGCCTGGATTTTTTTTCCTCAAGACTTATTGCAGTGTTTGCAGTGATTGGGGAGAGGCTGGAGATCTCGCATTTTCTCTAGAAACCTGCTCCTTATTTAACATATTTGATCTGGAAAGCGTTTGTATAATTTTTTATTCAGTTAAGAGTTACAGTTGCTAGGCATCAACCCGTGAAGTGGCTAATACACTAAAGTGCTTCTGGAAAGCTTTGGGCGAGGTCTGTTGGAACACCTCCTACCATCCTCCCATTCATTTGAAGCATTATCAACAGGATCAGGCACTCAAATAAGACTGCACAGATGTTGTTTTCAGCTCTTTGGCTATAATGTACAGTGAAAATCACTGTGATATTAAAAAAAAAAAACAATAACAACAGCAACAAAAACACAATCAAGTTACCACAGCTAAACTGTGTTAGTTGAGCTGCTCTAACACATTAAATATATATGCTGGTAATTAATAGTAAATGGGAGAGGATAAAAGATATATGAAGGAGAATATTAATCAAAAAACCAACAGAGCTATGGCCCACATTAATCTGCAAGAAACCAAAGGTGCCAGTGTGCACTGCTGACCTGTTGGCACAGCYGCTTTGCAGACTTTGGCAAGTTGTGCTAAAAGTATGTTACATTTGGTGTAACTCACAACCTTGTTTTTAATAAAAGCTAAGAAGTATTCTGCTCATCAGTAAGAGCCTTCTTGTTTGGAGCACAGCTCCAAACGATTTGGGTAGAGTCAGGGAGAGGAAGAAGAAACACTGAGATGCTGAAGTAATTGGATTATACAGTCCAACCTTTTACTCCCGATTCTYCAGTATGAATGGAAAAAACATCCCCCAGCATGAAAAAAAACAGAAAATCCAAATGCCAGGGCAGAGTGCCTTACATTGCCTTGGCAACTAAGAAAAGCTCTTACCTGATAGTCTGGTTTGGTGAAGTAGTCTAGGCTTGCAATATGATCCAGAAATAGGTGGAACTCTGAAGGCATGTGTTTTAGCAGCATTCGGTGTTCATACTTCTCTTTTATCATGCCAACTTGCTCCTGGAAAAGAAAAARCCATCTGAGCCATGAATCTTCCATTGCTTATTACTCATAGTAAGTGCTATCCAGCCTTACCAGAGCACAGTCTCTCCTTGGATCCAGCACTTCCATTACAACTTCTGTTTTAGAGTTTCTAGCAAATTTAAGCTGATAACTGCAGGGGAATCCTGCGTTAAAAACCTCACTTCAGAAGCTGCCCCTTTAACAGAGCTTTCTGCACTTCTGTCCCACTGGCTTCCAGGGGTTGTTGTTCTGTAGCACAAGGCTCTTTCAAGATAACATAAATACTTCAATTCATTTAACTTCCCAGTTGCAATTTTGGTTTGGCTTCTTTGGTACGAGGCAGAGGTAGATGGCGGGGGAAAGAGTTCTATCCTCTCTCCATTTTAAAGACTGCTTCTTTGTAAGATATCAGCTTAGATCTATCTAGACTTGGCATTTTTGTTATTTGCTGTGTACCAATAAAGTCAAGATCACTTGATAGGCATCTGAAAACACCCGGCTATTCCAAGCAAGGTGAGCTCCACATTGTGCAGCAGCGCACGTAAAAGCCAGTTAGCATCTTACAGCAAGTCTCAATGAAAAACAGCCTTTCTACTYGAAGAAAAAAAATTGCACTCATCTGGAGAAAGTGGAATAGTAAGAACCACAATAATGTTGGACCCTGCTTTAAGCAGAGGCACTAGGATTCCTACCTTATCTTTGATCTTTCGCCAGGGAAGCTGCCCAACTGCAAATTCCACCAACATGTAAAAGAGGGACCAGAGATCATCGTGTCTACCCATTTCCTGGAGAAAAGAGAGATAAAGACTGAGCAGCAAAGTTCCACACTGCTCAGCAGAGCAGATGTCTTTCTACCTGAGAAACCTCATTTTAAGAGGCAAAAGAAGTCACACATCCTATGATAGCATTACAGAACCCAGACTGAAAATCAAAGATGCAAMACCAAGCATTAGGCGATATCATATATTCACCTGAATAACCCCCCAAAACACAAATGTACAAAACCCACAATAGGTAGAGAATCTTTCAGTTATTTTTTTAAGCTMAGTATCATTCAAATTCTTTTCTCAAGACAGTAGTAATTTACATGGGGTTTTGTAAAACACTCATCATCAAGCACAACAATATGCTACAGATCTCTAACAACTCCTTCCTAAAAGGATAAATTTCTGGCAGGTTCCTTCCGTGAAAAAATAACAATTTAAACTACTCAATTCCAGGAAAGTTACAGGCAGCTAGAAAGAGGCTCTTACAAATGGAAACACTTGGCACCACTGGTTACAGCAGTGTTTTGTGAACAGGAAGAGGATTCTCTAGACAATCATTGTAACGAAGGAATCAGAAGCACCCCAATCCTGAGGAACCCGGAGTCATTTTCCTTTTTTTTTTTTAAATTATTATTTTTTAAATCCCAAACTTCTACTTTATACCTCTGCTCCTGAGAACAGCCTTCTGGAAAGAAACACTCTTGCTCTTTTCACCCCTTATTCCCCAGAAATACTCACTCGGTTTTTGTGGGCGTTCACCGAAGCATAGCGGACTGTTCCCCGAAACCCAGCAACGTTGCGAGGCTGAAGGGAGAGAACAGATCATCTCAGAGACASAGCAGGGTACTGTAAAACCTCACAGGCAGATAACCCTGAGAACTTCTGCAGATAATCCTGAGAACTTCCTATCTACGTCTACGTTTTCTCCTACCTATCCAAGGGGCATCAAGCTGCTCTTGATACCTTCTATCTACCTGTTCTATCAGTCATGCTTCCAACTCTGCTGCCTCACAAGGGCCTTTGACCATACAAGTTCACTTACTGAAGACACCATTTTTCGGAGCAAGGAGTTAAGTGAAATCCAACCAATCCTTTCAGTTTTGCTAAAAGGACTTAGTTTACAGAAATGCTTGCAGCAAAGCTAGAGTTCAGTCCAGGCATCTTCCATCATGATGCTAAATTTAGGAAGAATAAACATGTCATGTAAGAGCCTACACTTACAGAAATTTAAATGCCTTAACAACAACTCTGTACAGTCTCATCTAGGTCAGCTGATTCATTTTTATTCTTTCAGCTGTGCCTCTGCTTTTAGAGATAACCTTCAATTCTATAGCTTCATTCTAAGGCATTCTTCTTTCTACTCAAATATATACAAACCAGTCCCTTCCTTTTCGGTGCTGGAAAGCTGCTGTGAGTTTCTCCAGACATAAAGCATAAACTTTCCCTTAGCATAAAGCTTTGAATGTTTTAGAAACAAGTTCATCAACACTTTGCCACTAACACACAGCCCTAGTGGCATCTAATGCTGCTCTTCTACTATAGCAAAAATTCAGAAGTCTGCTATAGAGTATTATAGAGTACATAGAGTACTTGTTCCATCTCCACGTGAGGAGGAACTTCTTCACTGTGAGGGTGACAGAGCCCTGGMACAGGCTGCCCAGGGAGGCTGTGGAGTCTCCTTCTCAGGAGGTCTTCAAAATCCGCCTGGATGCCGCCCTGTGCCCTGTGCTCTGGGTGTCCCTGCTGGAGCAGGAAGGTTGGACTAGATGATCTAGGGGCCTGGAACATCTGCCCTATGAGCAAAGGCTGAGRGAGCTGGGYSTGTTCAGCCTGGAGAAGAGGAGGCTGAGGGGGGACCTGATCAGCGTGTATAAATACCTCAAGGGAGGCAGTGAGGAGGAGGGGGGCRGCCTCTTTTCAGTGGTGGGCAGGGATAGGACTAGAGGAAATGGCTTCAAACTGAAGCATCGGAAGTTCCACAGKAACTTAAGGAAGCATTTCTTCACTGTGAGGGTGACAAAGCACTGGAACAGGCTGCCCAGAGAGGTTGTGSAGTCTCCTTCTTTGGAGATCTTTAAAACCCRCTTGGATGCAGCCCTGTGCCACGTGCTCTAGGTGACCCTGCGTGAGCAGGGGGGTTGGACTCGATGACCTCTGAGGTCCCTTCCAACCTTCGGCATTCTATGATTCTATGATTCTATGATCTCTAGAAATCCCTTCCAACTCTAACCATCCTCTAAATTCTGTAAAAAAAGACTATAACTCTAGTACGTTACTCAAATTATCCTCCAAGAGAATAATTTGGAGGAATTATTCTTCAAATTATGGACATGTCCCAATGTCCATACATGTCCCAAGCAGCACGTAATCTTGTAGTCCACCAGCCTGAGCTAGAGCTCCTCATGTAGCAGCATGTAACAGCCAAGATGTTTTCAAGATAATGCATCCGTCTCTTCCCAGAGCATTCATGAGAATTCCCCCTGGCAAGGGACTGAAAATACTCTTCAGCACTTCACTGAAGGTGAAGGGTGAAAGCTTCTGAAAAGTAGAAATGTCCAACCATGGGAAGGGATCTGTTGGTAGTGACCACTGGTGGAGACCTCCTCTATCCTTTCAAAGGCAAGAAAACTTTTCCATTCTTTTCCATTGTGGAAGTTAGTGTGCTTGGAAAATTTTCATGAGACATACAGCATGTTATGAATAATTCTAGTGGGCAATCCGTAACACTTTCAGAGCAAATACCTGGCAGTRTTTGTAATTCAGGGGATGTCATCTTTCATGTTCTTTGCTCATCTCAGTGGCTTCAGCTGTTCAGCCAAATATGTATTTGTACCTACTGAATGCATTGCCACAGGGCTGGCTTCAGTATGGGCAGCAGTATCTTTCAAAGTCTTTAGATCAATTATTTCTTGCACACAGTATTTCTAGACTCTAAACTTTCTAGACTCTTAATAAGATCCATTCTGAAAACAACTTCTAGACGGTTTCAAATGTATTCTGCTCCCCTTTCAGAAAAGGAAAAAAAMCCCAATGTTCTAACCACATTTTAATGTGCGTGTGTCCCATGGCCATCGTGGAAGAGTTCAGCACCCCAGCTCTGCAGCTCAATCCAATTGCCTCTCTCTGATCCTGGGTGACGTGCAGAAGASAGCCCTGCAGCTGAGCAGGCTCTTACATTTTGCCATGAAACCCTTACACAACACAGGCCTTGACATTGGAGCTTTCCAATTATTCTGGCAGAGTGGTTAGATCTTTAAAACAAAACAGGCAGATGCTAGCTGCATTAACAGCATCTTTTCTTTGGAAAGATTTTGCCTCCTTATAACCATCCTTGGCTGCCCTGACAGTCACAAGGCAACAGCTCATGCCTTTTGTCTATGCTACTAATTGCTGCAGTCAAATGCAGAGCRGGAGAGATCACACTCTTCATCCAAACAAGCTGCCCTGCCTCAGCACTCGCTGTGGCTCACATTAAATTCAGAAGAAAAGTTAGTGCCAGTTGGATATACATCAATGCTCATTTTCCAGATCATTTCTTTACACCTTTCAGCTCTTAATAAATTTCAACCCACTGCTGTATAGCTCCAACARCAGAGGAAAGCTTGGATAAACCAGCTTTCCTGACATACCCACATTCAACACTGTGTGTTACATCTTCATTGTGTAAGAACTGAAATTCTAGCAGTTAGGAACTTCAAACTATCGAATCATGTATAATCCAACCAATTTGAATCCCTGATAAGATGGCAATGAGGTAGAAACCTGAAATACTATTTTAAAAATATATACAATTTTTTTCCTACATCAGCATTGCTATCAAAAATGCTGATCAGGGTAAAAACAAAAGTCTCTTCCTGCATGTGGATTGCACCTAGCACACAAGCTAAGGTTCATATTACACACAAGTGCCAGGGAGACTTGAGAGATGTGAAGCATCTTGCCTTGTGTGAGAAGTTAAGTTTAAAATGAGTTTTAGCCTTGGAGAATGTGTTAGAACAGCACCAGAGCGCAAAAATTATACTCTGTGCTCCTTCCAATATGCATTGGCTGTATGCATTACCAGAGCCGAATTAGCTAACAAAATACTGCGCATGGTGGATGCATCATTCCAAACTGGGAGCTCTCTGGCACCCATCAGCTTTTCCCCACTCTCCAGGTCAAACCCTCACAAAGATCTGTGTTTTAGGTGCCTCAATGGTGGGCTTGTCCTGCTTCCAGCAGTTAGGCTTGCTGGGGATACAAGGGGATGTGCAGCTTCACCTCTTCTGTAGCGCTGGTCACCTCACAGACAAATCCTGTGCTTCTCGTGTACATGTTGAGTTGTCAGTTTGAGCAGTGGGGCTTTCCAGAATCATTAATGACAGCAGTGTTTGTTTTTTTATCCCAAGAAGGAGACATAAATTAATTAACAGAGGAAGTATCTCCTTGACTTCGCTGCTAAAAAAGGGGCAAAAGAAATCACAGTCGCTGGCACCCTCCCAAACATCTCCCAGCCCTTCAGGCAGAATCCCAAGTGTTCTTGGCCTCTGCATCACATTTAGGTAGTTGTCACGATCCTGCTGAAAAATAAATATATCATGAGGGAATAATAAAAAAAAAAAAGGAAAAAAAAAAAGGTGTAATTTGGAATCCCATATATAACAAAAGCACAAAACAAAATGAAAACCCAGAAGCATGATGATGGCTCACTCACAACTCATAGCAGAGATGGTTACGAGCAGCGGATGAGGAGTCAACGCATCAAACACAGCCTCAAAAGAGCCCAAAAGAACTGTAAAACAGAGAGAAACCCAAAGAAAAACATGATAAAAAAACAACAAAATAAAAAAAAAAAACACAAAAAACCCCACAAAACAGAAATTAATTCAAACAAACAAAAAAAACCAACAGAAAGACACAATTCAATATTACATCCCTCCTGACACCTGAGCCTCTTGTTTTGCTGCTCTCGTTGGCTGGCCTATCTCCCTGGCCTGGGATAGCTGCTGCCCGTGCTGCATCTGGTTTTATTTAGATGCAGAGCCTGAGGAAGCCTCGGTGCTTTGTGAAGCGGTGAGAGGGGTCCCTCTAGAGTCCAGCCTCCCCTTGCTCGCCTGTCACTTGCTCCTAATGCAAGCCACAAAARTAGAACCGGAGAGCTGAGCCAGGTCCAAGCCCAATTGCTCCTTTGGGACTAGCTTGGTTTGGTAAAAATACCTGTCCTCTAAACCTCGCCTTCTCATCCCCAAAAACCAAACTGATTAAAATCAGAGTGAGTAGTTTCGCTCCCTCGCAAACACATCCAGCCCTTTACCATATAATTTGCTAACCTGAAGCAGGACCTTGGCTCACAGATACCTAATTCAGTGGAAGTCAAGCAACTCAAAGCAAATCAACCCACTTGTTCTCATCTGAATCTCAATATTCCTCTTACTTCAAAACGTACAAGCTCTAAGACGCCTGCAGATTTTACAACTCTATTCAGTTTTAAGCATATTACTTGACAGCCTTGTACTAATCTTTCCAAAGCCAGAGACACCCCAGGGATGAAACTTTAAGCTTATCCATTTGAAAAGGACCCATTTTGCACAGATAATCGAATATTTATTCAATTAATGAGTGACATTTATTCTGCAACCTGTCAGCAAGGACACCTGCCTGGTGGAGGGGGATTCGGCTTCCAAGTCGAGGCAACATTGACTCGTCCAGGCGCTGAAGCCCCTGTTCCCTCTCCACCAGACAGCAATAATTCTGTTCATCTCTGCGGAGCCCAGCAGGAAGCAACCAGAGTTTTGTGTTGAACAGCTTGAACCAGAAGGAACGAC